GTTTTAATAAAAGTGTAAAGACTTTATTAGCAAAGAAGTATAAAACTTCTTGTGAACATCTTTTTTGTGTATGGTTAGAGGATCAGCGGAAAGAGTTTTTTTTTTTAATAATTATGTGTTCTTTGAAAAAAAATACCATATAGTCTTAATTTTAAGTCTATAAACATTTACTAGTTTTATAAACCAAAGCGTTTTTTATTCTTCGTGTCACTCAGACCAAAGTTTTCGATGATTTCTTTATAAACAAAAAGACCTGATTTACTCATTCTTTAAAACAGAGGTTTTGTTAGCTTTTTTAGCAAAGACATTCGGTTCTCCACAATCCCTCCCGACTCGTTCTTTTACGATTTCGGTCTGAAACGATATTTAATGCATATGGATGTTGTACCATGGTTTTTTATGCGTTAATTTTAATTAAAAAAATCGAGGTTAGTTTGTTACTCGTGTAACCACTGCAAAGTTCTATATAAACATGGGATTTTCTGGCAATACTTAACCTCGTCAAATACCCATTCCACGTAGGCGCTATTATTAGAACGTTACCAAGTAATAAATTCTATCGGCTTCCGACGCCACAGTAATTAATCCGCCACAGTGGTGTTTAATTTGAAAGCTTTTTTTGGAAATCTCCACTTTTTGGTCCATTTACGCTTTTTCTTCCTGAAATATAGAAGACTGGTTGGCTATCATCAATAAATCTTATTTATATCGTTATATTATTCATTTGTAAAACGATCCTTCACTCGACTATGTTCGCCTTGAATAATTTAAAAGGAAAGGGGGATGGATCGGAAGAAAATTCCACAACAAAATATGCTCCCTTAGCGACAGAACCTTCACCATCCGTCAATACATCGGAGACAACGCCGACAAAACGTCCGATAAAATCAAACCCATCATTATGGAACACTAGGGAATTTTACATTTATTATGCGCTATTAGCATTTAGCATTATTTATATGTATAAAGTTGGATATGAATTGAGTAAAGGTACGCAGACGGACGAATTTAAGCAATAATGAAAGAAGATTTCAACTCATCCTCTGAATCACGACTGAATCTAGAAACGCATCCAAATTATGCAAAATATTCTCGAGAATTACAGGATGGATGGATATTTGGTCGTAAAGTGGTAGGTCACAAGGCTTTAGGCTGTGTTGGTTGTCACTTTCACACATATTAAATTGGTTTATCAATTGGTTTTAGGATAATAGCGACATGCAATTTTCTGAATTCCGAGATAATTTTCCCTTGCTAGCATTAGCCTTGGGGCTATATTTAGTGTTGAGTCATTTGTTTAGAATTCTTTATTCATCAAAACTTCCCACCAAGCTTGCCACCCAACCTCTTAGAAGGGCATACTTTTTCTTGGCGTTTTCGACAATCTTCCTTTACGTGTTATTTGGGAATAGCATAATCTTCATATTTATCATATTGAGCCTGAATTACGCTATTTCTCGAATCTTTCGAGGTTCTCGTGCGAACCCCATAATCACTTGGATATTTAACCTGTTTGTATTGTTTTTAAATGAAGCATTTAAAGGATATCATTTTAAGAGTATAGACGAACGTTTGGCGTTCTTGGTAAATTTTTTTTCTTTTCTCCAATAGTTATGTAATGAAACTATGAATTTGTGTTGTTTTAACATTATATTATCGCTCTAATTAAGGATCAAAACCGAGGCTTACTGACCAGATGGGATGTCAATTTTAACATAACCATGCTGCGAATCGTGTCATTTAATATGGATTACTATTGGTCATTCTTCCCTTTACCCAGTCCTCCTGAGGTAATCCTGGGAGAATCTCATGTAATGATGCCCTATACATTTATTAGTTATATTCGGGGAAACAACAACGGACGTCAAAATATTGATTATAATAGAAGCTGCACAGATTCATCGATTGTCCGATTAGATTATCATTCGTCTCTCTTTGAATATTTCTCTCCGACAACCTATCATCTGAAATGATTATTCCGGGACCTCCGTGAATTTACAAGATCTAATAATTATTTATTGAATTGCTCATTTTGTAGAGGAATGATAGAGATCATGCACCTCTAACAGAGAAGGATAGGATTAAAATTTCGTGTCATAAAGAAGATTATAATTTTATTTACTATATATGTTATATTACGTATTCGCCCTTATACCTCGCCGGCCCCATAATTACTTTTAATAATTTTGTATCTCAAGTAGGTAGCGAAGATTTTTCTTTATCATTTTGTTATCACCTTAATTAATGTACTTATTAATTATGATCACTCACAGCTAAGATATCCCTGTGAAATCACCCTGAAGGAAGTACTCTTATATGGGGTCAGACTTTTGTTGGCAATACTCACCATGGAATTCATGCTTCACTATGTATATGCCGTTGCCATCAGTAACACAAAAGCATGGGAAAATGATACACCTTTCGAATTGGGTGTAATTGGAATATTCAATTTGTTGTATGTTTGGTTAAAGGTAAGAAATTTATTCGTCACTGACACGATTCATATTCCTTCATTAATTCCATGCTCTTAATTTTATTCGATAGCTTTTGATAATTTGGAGATTTTTTAGATTTTGGGCTTTAGCGGATGGAATTAATACACAGGAGAATATGATAAGGTGTATGTTGAACAATTATTCGACCAGTGGATTTTGGCGTAGCTGGCATCGAAGTTATTACAGATGGCTCGTCAGGTAAATGGGGTGGAAGTCTAATTTTGTTCCGAGGGATCACAAATTTGTTGTATTCTTGCAGATAACTTTGTTCTGCCATACTCCAGATATATTTACATTCCACTGGGAGGAAATAAGCGTCCGACGCTTAACATGCTAGCAGTGTTCACATTTGTTGCATTTTGGCACGACATTTCCCTTCAGCTATTAGCTTGGGGTTGGCTAATATGGCTATTCATTTTACCCGAAAAGATATGTACCATTATATTTTCCCCCAAAAAAGTAAGTTTGAACCTTGCAATGGCAAAATTTAAAAAATCCAAATGTTAAGTTCAATCTATTTGAAACGTGTAGTGGGGTGATTGGCCGCACTATAGACATTTATGCGCACTCGGAGGCGTGGGAAACCTGATAATGATGTGGATGGCTAATCTGATTGGATTTGCCGTTGGACTGGATGGAATGAATGTTTTATTCACAAATATCTTTATGACTTCACGAGGCAAGGATCATCCCTGCGCTTATTATATATATATTCTAATTGCATATTTTTATTGAACAATTCTTTCTTCTTTTAATTAACAATCTATCTTCCTTCGACATACATCGCTTAATATTCAGGTCTTATTTCACTTGCACTCGCTTGTGTGGGAATTTTTTCCGGAGTACAAATAATGTTTGAGGTCAGGGAGGAGGAGAAGAGGAGAGGGTTTGATCCTGAAATTAGATATTAGAGTATTGATTTTTATTCAAATTAATCTTTTCAAAATTATTTATTAGCATCGTGGAAACTGTAAATTTTACAAATTTTA